GGATCTCCCCTCCTTCCGCCGCGCCCTTAAGACATGGCTCTTCCAACAAGCGGGATTGGCCTAGGGGAATTTTTAGTGGGGTTTTAAGAATAATTTTAAATTGACATAGGCCACATCAAATATTTCATTTTAATTAGGTTTTAAAGTGGGTGTTTTTATCTTTGTATCTGTTTTACTAGGCTGTCAGCCGCCCTGAGTCTGTAAGGAGAAGGGCGGGATAAAAATTTAAACAAATAAATAAATAAATAAAATAAATAAAACGTGTGTAAAAATTGCCTATTGGGAGATTTTAAAAAACTACGTTTATTAGTGCAGATAAATCTCCCTGCTTGAAAAGAATAGGAGCTTTCAATCCATCCTGATATAGTATTCAAATTGAAATTTGTCTTTATGTCTGCATGAATGATAGTTACATTAAGAGCTAAAATTTCCCAGTGCTGGCGTGCCATTTATTTAAACACCTAACTGCTCCTTAGCAAGAAAGCAAGATAGAGGGCTATGAAAATATCTACAGACCCCTCACATCCTGGACATAAACTGTTTCAACATCTTCTCTCAAGACGATGCTGTAGGGCAGGGGTAGTCAACCTTGGCTCTTTTATGACTCGTGGACTTCAACTCCCAGAATTCCTGAGCCAGCTAAGCTGGCTCAGGAATTCTGGGAGTTGAAGTCCACAAGTCATAAAAGAGCCAAGGTTGACTACCCCTGCTGTAGGGCCTTGCATACCAAGACATAAGGACAATTCCCCCCCCCCCCCATGCCATCACTCTGCTAAACAACTAATTCTCTGTCTTATACCCTGGGAGGTCAAACCACCTAGTAGGGGCTGTATTACTATTATCCTTCTCAGCTTTCCTATTATCTATCTCCTTAGTTTCTTATGACTATAACTTTGTTGTTTGTATCTTATGATTTATGTTGTTTGCTTTTATTAGTATCCTATTGTGATTTATGATTGCTTATTTAGTATCCTATGACTATCACTGAATGTTGTGTCTTATGATTTATGATGATTGTATTTTATGACTATGATCACGATTTATCACTCGTTGCTTGTATGTACACTGAGAGCTTATGCACTGGAGACAAATTCCTTGTGTGCCCAATCACACTTGGCCAATAAAGAATTCTATTCTATTCTATTCTATTCTATTCTATTCTATTCTATTCTATTCTATTCTATTCTATTCTATTCTATTCTATTTATCCAAGATATGAAGATCATATTCTATTCTATTCTATTCTATTCTATTCTATTCTATTCTATTCTATTCTATTCCATTCCATTCCATTCCATTGCATCTCTATTCTATTCTATTCTATTCTATTCTATTCTATTCTATTCTATTCTATTCTATTCTATTCTATTCTATTCTATTCTATTCCATTTATCCAAGATATGAAGGTCATATTCTATTCTATTCTATTCTATTCTATTCTATTCTATTCTATTCTACTCTACTCTACTCTATTCCATTCCATATTTTTCTTTTCTATTCTATTCTATTCTATTCTATTCTATTCTATTCTATTCTATTCTATTCTATTCTATGCTATGCTATGCTATGCTATTCTAATTTTTAAAGACAAAGGAAGATGTCTGTTAATCTGTGGAAAAGGTGAGAAAAGGAATACTGGATTCAAACTGTGGTAATTTAAAAGGCACAAATTAATCTTCTTTATCCTGATAGGAATCATTAAATGTATATAGCCAGATCTTATTCTATGAGATTCAAATCCATTACCATACGGGGAACTGAACTCATGGATAATCGCACTTTACATGACTACATACAGCACACTGCAAAGCATGAGATGGGTGGCATATAAATTTATTAAGTAAATAAAACATATAAATTAACTTTAGAAACTATCCAGGTTCTGCTGTTCAGCACCAAAGTGCTCTTCAGGAAGACATATATACAGTCTATCAGAATGGGATCTACAGTCCATCAATTGTTCACCTACAGTCCTGAGAGCTGAATGTAATGAAATTTCATTTTAATGTATGCCAATTAGTGTACATTTAAAGTGACAATAAAGTTATTCTCTTCTAGTCCACATGGCATAATGTAACATAAGCAACTCATAGGAGTCTTATATATCTTACATGGTGTGTCTTTTCTTTAAGTTCAAGAGAGAGAGAGGTTAATGGGTTTGAACCCCATGTAGTAAGATCTGGCTATGAACATTTGGAGATTCCTAATAAGAATAAAACCAATCACGTACTGCATCATGATGGTTATTGTTAACTGAAAACACCACACAGTATATACATTGCATGCAAAATAGAGAAATCACCCCCTCCAAGGGGAATGGTGTCAATAATAATAATCTTTATTGATTAGCCCGTAGGCCATATCAAGGTGCAGAGTTCCAAACACACGTTATACTAAAAATGCAGTAAAAACAATTTAGAATGGAATTAGTTAAAATATAATTTAGGATAAAATAGAAATAAAGTACAATTTAAAATGAAACTGGGATAAAATACATGGTGGAAGTACGTGAGGTCATGACAAAATGTAATACTTCTCCCCCCTCCACCTTAAAAGGAGGCCGACTGTATATATCACTTAAGACAGACTTTTAAGAGAAAATAGATTTCAAAGAAACTTAGATTTCTGAACAGTTGCCAGAATTGTTCTATCATGGGAAAACAAACTCCAAACAATAAATATTTGACAACATGGTAGCCAAAGGAATATGATCTTCAACTGTTTCTAGGAAAGTGTGTAAGAAATGCAATTATATTGTAAAACTTTTATAAAACTTTTAATAATAAAAAAAAAGAAATGCAATCCCAATTAGAAAAAGGAAATGGAGAGAATAAAATACTAAAACAAATCAGCTCAGTTGATAGAAAAACACGGGGGGGGGAGGGAAGCGGAAGTGATTTTATAGCAGTTGGAAAACCACGAATAATTAACCTTTTATGTTGACCATTTTTGAGGTAACCTCCAGCTTCTCCAGAGGTTCTGTTCCAATATTTTCAAGTTTAATGATGAGCGGCTGAGTCTCTCCGTTGTACAGCTGGACAGACACGCTGGTGGTAATTTCGTCACCCGAAGAAGGTTGAAGTGTACGCGCAGACCTTTAAAAATTGTGGGAAAATATCAGTGGGTAATGCATCCGTCGTTATAAAATGAATCCATACATTATTTACAACAGGGGTCCCCAACCCCCCCGGTCTATGGACCGCCACCGGTCCGCAGCATGCCAGCAACTGGGCCGCGTAGACAAGCGAAACCCCATCCACGGGATGCAGGCAGCAAGCGAAACCACGCCCTCTCCGTGGAACCGGTCCCTGGTGCCCAAAAAATTGGGGGCTGCTGATTTACAATACATTCATAGATAGTTTTTCTTTCCATTCAGTTGTGTCCAGTTCCCTGAGACTGGACAAGTCCTTGCAGTTTACTCAGCAAGCTTTTTTCAGAAATGGTTTGCCTTTGTCTGCTTTCTAGGGCTGAGAGAGTGTGACTGGCCCCAGGTCATCCAGTGGGCTTCTTGCCCAAGGTGGGACCAGAACTCAGGGTCCCCCAGTTTCTAGTCTGATGCCTTCACCACTACACCAAACCGGATCTCTCAGATATCGCTATATGTTATTAAAGTATTAATAAACAGTGTCACCTAAGTTTATGAACACTGTTAATAAAATGGGGGTGATGGAGAAAATAAAGATCGGGCCAAAAACGATCACGCTAATGGCAGAAGAAGCGTTTAACCACAACTTTCAGTTTGGCACTACTATTCCTGTTCTTCCCCTTTGTTACTATTCTTCACCTCCCTCACTTGTAAACTGGGACTGTATGAGGTACAACTTGAAGTGGAGGCAAAATTTTATTTTGGAATCTAAAGTGCAAGCAACTCAATGAAACTTAGTTTTGAACCATGCTAAAGAAAGATACAATTAAAGTTAACTTCTGCCCTCGAGAACTGACAGAAGTGTTAACACTCAAAACTAACTGGGATAAAATTAAGGCATTACTTATCCTTCTGAGGTAAATTTAGCACAGAGAAACGAGCACTTTTAAAAAAAAAGAAAAAAAAACCCTTCCAAAATAAATTAACAAAAAAGGCAAAAACGCATATGACGGACTGTAATCAAACCGCTCACTGAGGGAACAGTGTAATTTTTTTTATTATTTCTCATGCACACACGTACATATACACACACAAACACACAGACTCATACACATAGGCACACATACACTGCTCTCCTTTACAAACTGCAATCCCTTAGCCATTGAGAATCCCTTTCTAAACACAGTTTCAAACAAGTTTGGAAAGAAAACTATGTTGAATATTCAATTTAGGGTGGATATTAATATCAATCATAATAAAATACAAAAAAAAAACACAAGCGGAGAAAATTTCCCCAAAACTTGCTTCCAAATTTTGGAGCATAAATCCATATCATGAAACATGGATATGGTCAAGATAATTTTTCTCATTGCAATCACTACAGGTTCAATTTCTAAATAACTTTTTTTTTTAATCTCAAAATAGCAGGACTCAACTGTATTGCATGTGAAAGACTCATCCATTTTAAACTGATTTATAATCCAGCACTGGGGCAGATACAATTTCATTATTTAAAATGTGCTTTGAGAGGAAAATAAGCTCTCCCTCAGGCACTTTCACTCTCTATCAACTCTTAACATGTAGGTGACAGGTTAAGATATTTTTGTTCCTTTTTTATATAATTTTTATTTAAAAATTTTTTTTAAAGAAAATAAAAACTAGCAACAACTAATATAAAGTAAGGTTAAAAAAAAGAAAGATCAAGGAAAAATCAAAAAGTGCAAGAAAAGAAGTTGAAGAAAAATAGAAAATGTGCTATTTAAACGAACCTGTTTTTAATATTAAGATGAAGTATCATTTGTAATCATTTTCATTTTTTTTAAAAGAAAAACCGTTTGTATTTAAAAATATACATTCAACCAGTAGGCTAATAATAATAATAACAACAGCAACAACAACAATAATAATAATAGAGTTGAAGGGGCCTTGGACGTCATCTAGTCCAACCCCCTGCTCAGGCAGGAAACCCTATACCATTTCGGACAAATGGCTGCCCAGCCTCTTCTTAAAAACTTCCAGTGTTGGAGCATTCACTGCTTCTGGAGGCAGGTTGTTCCACTGGTTAATTGTCCTGACTGTCAGGAAGTTTCTCCTTAGTTCCAGGTTGCTTCTCTCCTTGATCAGTTTCCATCCGTTGCTTCTTGTCCTGCCTTCAGGCGCTTTGGAGAATAGCTTGACTCCCTCTTCTTTGGGGCAGCCCCTGAGATACTGGAAGACTGCTATCATGTCCCCCCTCGTCCTTCTCTTCATTGAACTAGACATACCCAGTTCCAGCAACCGTTCTTTATACGTTCTAGCCTCCAGCCCCTTAATTATCTTTGTTGCTCTTCTCTGCACTCTTTCTAGATATTACTAATCGAAGAGCAGATATCGATAAATGTACTCCAAGTTTGCCAACTTTAAAAAAGCAACCGTCAGAATTCTTACCTTGGTAACGAAGTGCTAATTTGCAACCTAGGCAAAGATGGGATGACTTCCACTGTACAGCCAGAGGTCTTTATTCCTGGGAGTTTATCCAAAAGGCAATCGCTGAAGACTCCAAAGACTGAGGTGTGATAGCCTGTCACCACGAGAAATCAGACAGAGATTGAGCAGAAACAATCAATCACCAAGCATAAACGGGAAATCTGCTATAGTTGTTAGAACCAGAGAGTTATTTACTTTGTAAAAAAATGTACTGAAGACTGAAAAGGCTAAGTGCCAGTTGGACATATTTCTAGTTTGGTTACTTCGCAGTTAAAAACATTAGAACCATTATAGCTAAGAAACCTCAAACCTCAGCTAGAATCTGTCATGAAAACATGCTATTTGATTGGCTAATGCAGAAAAATTAGGAAGATTTAATTCAGAATCATTTTCATTCTCAAGTCAATATAATAGCTTGGTCAAATCACTAATAAATGTGGCTCAGATAGTTTTTCCTTTTAAGGCAGATTAAGAACTTTTTCATGGCCAATGAGTAATTAATAGTATTCTTATGGTTGGTGCACAGTCAGCCAGATGTTTAGATTGAATTTGTCTAATTTATCCATCTATCCTATCCTTGGGAAGGGTCATAATAGTGATGCTGCTGAAAGTGACAAAGGCAACATTTGTGGGCTGTCAGATGAGCAGAAATCAATTTCACACAGTTTGCTTATTTTGACAAAAACAAAAACAAAAAACCCCAAAACTAAATTTGACAAATAGTGCCATGGGGTCTCGGCACCCTGAACGTGTGGGTTTGGGATTAATAAAAAACGGGGCCGCAAAAAATATGTATTATGCAGTTTGCTCATCGCTTTTAAGGCTCTAGAAATCTATTCCTAACATCTATTCTTTTCACTCTTCATTAATCTGCCGTTTATAATTGACTGAAATAATTCTGTTTCAAACACTATGTCAAATGCACCAGCTCCGAAACTACAGAACAAAAATAACTACATTACAAAAGCTAAATTTCAAATAACACATCAGTCTGGCAGGCATAGATCGGGTCGCAATATTTTCTGCATTTCATCATAATCTGTAATCCAGAATATACTCTTTGGTCATTATATTTGATGAGGACCTGAATGCAGGTTGACCTTTACCTACAACCTGTTCTTTTTAAGTGACGGTTCGAAGCTACAACGGCACTGAAAACAGTGTCTTAAAAGCAGTACTGTTGTACAGCACCAATTTATTTATTTATTTGTTTAGATTTATATACCGCCCTTCTCCCGAAGGACTCAGGGCGGTGCACAGCATATTAAAAACAAGTAACAATAAAATACCAAAAAATTAATAAATACCAAAATAAAAACCCCTCTAAGACCAAATTAAAAGCCAAATAATTAGTAGCTGTGTCGTAATTAAAATTATATTAAAATCATCCCTAACTAAAATCCTCCCTAGGTCAGGCCCGCTTGCTGGAAAAGCCATGTCTTGAGGGCGCGGCGGAAAGTGAGGAGATCCGGAATCATCCGGATCTCGGGGGGTAGTTCGTTCCAGAGGGTGTCACTGCATCCTGACAGTCACATGATCAAAATCAGGCACCTGGTCATTTACATGTGTTTAGGACAGCTGCAGCATCCCAGACTCCGGTGATTGACATTTGCACCCTTCCCAACCAGCTTCCAACAAGCAAAGTCAGTGGGGGAAGTGAATTCAAATAAAGTGCATGGTTCACTTCACAACTGCAGTGAAGCATTTAATAATGGTGGCAAAAAGGGGTTGTAAAGTCAGGTGCAACTCGTTTTAACAACTGCCCTTCTTAGCAATGGAAAGTCCGGTCCCAATTTTGCTCATACAGTAGTGGCCAAAATTGTGGAAACCTTTTGGGAAAAGTGTATTTTTTGAGGTTTGATGGCTAATAACATCACTTTTTTGGGGGAATAGTAACATAAAATTATATATCAATGGAAAGATAATTTAATCAAGAATGTAATGCAACAAAGTTTGTTCAATTATCTGTACTGTATTCTATGAAAGGTTACAGCCAAATAACCAGAAAAAGGAAGCACAACTTGCTTAGGTTGATCTCAGGTAGCTTTCCTTCCTCTGATTGTAGCCAATGAGCAAGAGTGTTTAGACAGCCAGTCAGGTGTCATCTTATTTTGGCCATGAGCCAATCAGATCACAGTAGGATTCAGTTATTGATGTCATGTATTGAAGCTGAGAGGAGGACATTTGTCAGTGTGTTATGTGATCGCTATCAAGTGGGTTGGGTTTTTTTGTGTTCTTTCATTGAGTGAGCTTGTAAAACATAATAAAATTAAAGTCATGGTGCAAAGAGTTGACTGGTTGCCCAGAAAGCGATGTAAAATAATATTTATTAAGTGAACAAGGCTACAGTTATAAAGAAATTAGAAGAAAAATGGGTGGAAACTTAACCAAAGGTGGTATTTCTACTGTACACTTTTCCCAAAAGGTTTCCACAATTTTGGCCACTACTGTAGGTCAAGGACAACTTGGAACAGATTCTTTGGGTTATGAGCTTCCTAAATGATTTTCTTGAAACACGGCGAGGAAAACACCATCCTTTTCATTGCTACTTAGGATGTAGTAATAATATCAACTTAGAGCAGAACAATCCTTGCCTCGTTAAAAAAAAAAAAAAATCAACGCAATCCGAAACAATTTGCAGTAGCTTACACTTCTCAAGGTAGAGAAAAGCCTGTTAGTAATCTTTACCGTTAACATTGATCTGGCCTGGGGACTGAGGAACACCGACCAGTGTCACAGGATAGAGGCCAGATTCTGCAGGCAAAGAGAGAGCTGCAGGGAGAGATTCAAACTCAACTCCGCTGGTCAGCAGTCCCTGGGAATGTAAAAAGCAAATTCAATGTAATTCTGTTAAGCAAAAAGCATACTGAAGGTAAGACATTATATTAGGCACCTGCACACTTATATGCTAAATAAAATTATCCTTTAAAAATATTGGAATAGTTGCATTATTAGGAATTGTAATCGCTATTCTTAATCTCCTTCTGACTGTTGCATCTTAAGGGCTTATTAGATGTATTTTATTGTACGTTATCTTGAGTACATTTGTAGAAAGCCATTCATGTACATTACTCATAATTTAGTGCATTACCAGTAGAGCACTTGGCTGAAGGGAATGATTGTGAGAAGACCCTGAAGTGCTGGCATCTGCATTGTCAGTTTCATCTTCCCAAAACAAATCCCTTTTTAATATCATATTAGTTTATGCAACTCATATTGTTGATGTGCTAATTCTACCAACATTAGTAACTGTGATATCAAAGCTTTGTTGCAAGGCATAAAAAAGTAAGATTTTATTCAAATGTAAATCTGGTATCAATACTATGTACAGGTACATGTGTTTATGTGTTTCATATACATTTGGGGGGGGGGGATCTTATTACAAGGTGAAACAGGTGTATTCTAATTCTTACCCAGAAGAAAAAGGATGAATCGGGGAAAACTACCTGATATAAGAAGGTACAGCAATGTACTCTTAGAATATGTTGAGACTCTACAAAGAGTACAGAGAAGAGCAACAAAGATGATCAGGGGACTGGAGACTAAAACATATAAGGAACGGTTGCTGGAATTGGGTATGTCTAGTTTAATGAAGAGAAGGACGAGCGGGGACATGGTAGCAGTCTTCCAGTATCACAGGGGCTGCCCCAAAGAAGAGGGAGTCAAGCTATTCTCCAAAGCGCCTGAAGGCAGGACAAGAAGCAACGGATGGAAACTAATCAAGGAGAGAAGCAACCTAGAACTAAGGAGAAATTTCCTGACAGCTAGAACAATTAACAAGTGGAACAACCTGCCTCCAGAAGCTGTGAATGCTCCAACACTGGAAGTTTTTAAGAGACTGGACACGCATTTGTCTGAAATGGTATAGGGTTTCCTGCCTGAGCAGAGGGTTGGACTAGATGACCTCCAAGGTCCCTTCCAACTTCATTCATTATTATTATTGTTGTTGTTATAAATATGGAACATATATCTATGAAGACTGTGGATTTACTATCTCAAGATTTTGAAGAAGAGGCTGGACAGCCACTGCTTAGGGATGCTTTAATTGTTTTTCCTGCACATTGCAAGGGTTGGATTAAATGATCATTGCTATTCATTCCACGATTCTATGATTTTATGGTTCATCCTGTCTGCAAAGATGAGAAGAGTTATCTGAGTGAGAAGGTATTATCCAATCTTACAATAATCACAGTAAAAGGCTTGTATTATATAATACCTTCACATTAAGCAGCACAGTCAGAAAGTTTGGTTATGAACCCTTTTCTAAGCAATCTCAATTATTCAAACAGTATATTATCTAGGCCCTACGTGGGTTCAACCTTAACCTCTTAACAGCATGCATTCATTCTTGTACACCTTGATTCTGAGGATAACTGCACAGCCACCCAACCCTCTGTGTTTTTAAACTGCTCAGGGAAGTTTGCAAAACAGAATCCACTTTCCAAATTGAAAATATAAGACTTTTATGTTTACGTTTATCACGGAGGGTGAGAGTTTAGTCAAGACTTCCTACGACACCGACTACCATAGTTTTCAGTGACTCTCTATTTGTTCATGCACCTACTTATGTGGTGGGTGCAGGACCGAGACGGTGTCCAGTAGTCGTTCTCGCTGGTCAAGACAGAGACGGGATGTATGGGACCAGACTTCTTAGGCTGAAATTGGACAAGAAGCTGTCACAAAGAAAAAAGGGTCAACCTATTCTCCAAAGCAGCTGAAGGCAAGGCAAATGGATGGAAACTAATCAAAGAGAGAAACAACTTAGAAGTAAGGAGAAATTTCCTGAGAGTGAGGTCAATTAACCAGTGGAACAGCTTGCCACCAGAAGTTGTGGATGCTCCATCACTGGAGGTTTTTAAGAAGAGACTGGACCGTCATTTGTCTGGTATGTTAGTCCAGGACGCCTTAACTATCCAGAGGCGGCCAAAACAGCATTTTTCAGTGTTGATCCAAACAGGTTAAAAATATGCGGTTCCTTTTAAACACAACTATATTAATACGTGCCAGCCATTTCAGTTAACAGTAGGCTGAACCACATCCCTTGTCCACTGAAGACTTGAGAAATATATTTTATTTCTACAGTACAAAGACATTTGACAAATGATTATGCCCTCTTTCAGGAAAGCAATATAAACATCACAAATAGGATCATCAATGTCGTTTGGTATGGAAAATGTTTACGTTCATCATCTTTCTGCAGAGTTTTATTGGATTTTTTCCCACTTTCTGATGTGTGGGGAAAAGGATAATTCATATTAATGTTAAAACCTTTCTCCCTAATTCTATTCATATATATTATTTTCATAAAGCTGACAAAACGGTACATTTTTAAAACATATAAAAAAGACAAAGTAAAGCAGAATGTTTATGGCAATATGCACACTAAAGATGATAATAATAATAATAATAATAATAATAATAATAATAATAATAATAATAATAATAATAATAATAATAATAATAATAGTTGGAAGGGACCTTGGAGGTCATCTAGTCCAACCCCCTGCTCAGGCAGGAAACCCTATACCCCTCAAGTACCAGAAGACAGTTATCGTGTCCCCACAATCCTTTCCTTGGATAGCAATAGCCCTTAGCAATAGCCCTTAGACTTATATACCGCCCCTTTGTGTTTTAGAGCAGGGGCGCCAACTCCGGGCCATGGGCCATTAGTAACTGGGCTGTGTAGTGGGCGAGCGTGCAGGTGCAGTTCCATCTGTGTTGTGAGTTTTGCGACCTTTCTTGCTCCAGTTGTTGTGAATCATTGGAGTTGTTTAAGTTAATGACACGGGTTGTTACCTAAGATATGCAGATGATACCACTCTTAATGGCAGAACGTGAAGAGGAACTAAAGAGCCTCTTGATGCGGGTGAAGAAGGAGAGTGCAAAAGTTGGCTTGAAACTCAAGATTAAGAAAACCAAGATCATGGCATCTGTCCCTCTCAATTCCTGGCAAATAGATGGGGAAGAAATGGAGGTAGTGACAGATTTTATCTTCCTGGGCTCCAAGATCACCGCAGGTGGGGACTGCAGCCAAGAAATTAAAAGACACTTGCTCCTGGGGAGGAAAGCTATGGCAAATCTAGACAGCATACTAAAAAGCAGAGACATCACCCTGCCAACAAAGGTACGTATAGTCAAGGCCATGGTTTTCCCAGTTGCAATGTATGGCTGTGAAAGTTGGACCATAAGAAAGGCTGAGCACCAAAAAATTGAGGCCTTTGAACTAGGGTGCTGGAGAAGACTCCTGCGAGTCCCCTGGACTGCAAGGCAATCAAAATGGTCAGTCCTAGAGGAGATCAACCCCGACTGCTCTTTAGAAGGCCAGATCCTGAAGTTGAAACTCAAGTACTTTGGCCACCTAATGAGAAGGAAGGACTCACTGGAGAAGGGCCTAATGCTGGGAAAGATGGAGGGCAATAGAAGAAGGGGACGACAGAGAATGAGGTGGCTGGATGGAGTCACTGAAGCAGTAGGCGTGAGCTTCAATGGACTCCAGAAGATGGTAGAGGACAGGAAGGCCTGGAGGAACGTTGTCCATGGGGTTGCGATGGGTCGGACACGACTTCGCAACTAACAACAACAACATACTATGTAAACAATTACATCGTTGCTTGGTATTTACTTAAATAGTCACTCTTTTAACCATCAATGCAAGCATTCTTTCCAGCAGTACTACAGGTAGTCTTCAACTTATGATCATAACTGAGCCCAGAATTTATTATGTTGCTAAGTGAGAAATGCGTTAAGTGAGTTTTGTTCCATTTTATGACACGCGTTGCCACATTTGTCAAGGGAGTCACTGCAGCTGTTAAATTAGTAACGCAGTTGTTAAGGGAATCCGCCTTCCTCCGTTGACTTGGCATGTCAGAAGGTTGCAAAAAAGTCATCACGTGATCCTGGGACACTGCAACCGTCGTAAATATGAACCAGTTGCCAAGCATCCGAATGGAAATCACGTGGCCACGGGGAGGCTGCAGTAAGTTGAGAAAAATGGTCAACCCCTTTTTCAGTGCCATTATAACTTCTAATGGTCACTAAATGAATTGTTGTAAGTGGAGGACTGCCTGCGCAGCGAAACACATCCTACAAATTAAAGGATACAAATCCTTTAAAAGTTCCAAACTCAAGGATGAGGCAACTTCTAACCCAAGTTGCTGCTCCAGGGGTGTGCGCACACAATAGAAAGCATTCCTTCTGAAGATTCCTCAGCTTTTTGAATCCCTTCAGGGAACTATCCCATTTCACCTTAACCAGGAGGGCTTCAAACTTGGCCCTTTTATGAGTTGTGGACTTCAACTCCCAGAATTCCTCAGCCAGGCACGCTGGCTGAGGANTCACTACCATTGATGCCAATGCTACCCGTCGCTAAACCCAAACTAGGCTTTATGGGTGAAATAGGATCCAAAACATACCATATTTTCTACACGGAGTTCAAAGGGCATCGGATTGTACACCATCAGCTGAACTTCACAGACATCTCCCTGCACCCATTGAAAATCTACAGAAAGAAATAAACAGAAAATTAAGTGTTCCGGAAAAGACACAAACTTAAGCAAGCTTGGATATTGCAATCACATATGGCTCTAGATTGTCACATAATATTCCAACATATAGGACAGTGGTGGCGAACCTATGGCACGGGTGCCAGAGGCGGCACTCAGAGCCCTCTCTGTGGGCACCGGCGCCGGCGCCCCAGTCCTAGGCCTTCATCTGGGTTTTATAAAACCATTTTGCTTTAGGCCTCCGCCGCCGTATGCAAAAAAAAAAAAAAAAGGTTCAATCAGTCAATTTCAACTTCTCGCGGGAAGAAAAAAGATCTTGCAAAGTTGGAATTGATTGATTGAACTTTTTAGTCCCACCCAGTCTGCTGTTACCACTGAAGCCACGCCCACCCAACTGGCCACACCCAGCCAATGGGCCACACCCATCCGGCACCTGACGATGCATAAGTGGATTTTGGGTTGCAGTTTGGGTACTCGGTCTCTAAAAGGTTCGCCATCACTGATATAGGACAAGGGTCCCCAACCCCTGGTCGGCAGACTGGTACCGGGCCGCGCAAGCAGCGGGCAGGCGCATGAAGCTCCACTTGTGCATGCTATGCGATTAGGTTGTGCACGCGAAACCATGCCCTTCTCCACCACCACCCCGACACCACCACCCTCCACCACCATCGCTGCTGATCTGGGAAAGTTTGGGGACTGCTGATATAACAACAGCACGTAGACTTATATACCGCTTCACAATACTTTTACAGCCCACTCTAAGCGGTTTACAGAGTCACCATATTGCTCCCAACAATCTGGCTCCTCATTTTACCGACCTCGGAAGGAAGGAAGACTTGAGTCAACCTTGAACCGGTGAGAATCGAACTGCTGGCAGCCGGCAGTTAGCAGAATTAGCCTGAAATACTGCATTCTAACCACTGCGCCACCCCGGCTCTTATAAGAGATAAGATCTTCACAAAGCTGTTCTTAAGGGCAGGTATAAAAAAAGTTCCTTGGAAGCTGAGATTGTGTTCTTGTGGAGAAGGATCTATTGAATGCATAGCCTGTGTTGTTGTTGTTGTTTTTTCCCCAAAGAAATTTTATTGTTTTCCATCATAAAAAAAACAATGATAAGCATAATAAACACAGTAACATATAAGAACCCCCCACCCCACCCCCGGACTTCCCAAACCTAATCCCAGGATAATATTCATATATAAGTAAGCAAATACTAATATCTCTAACTCCACAAAGTATCTTAATCTACATAAAAAGATAGAAAGAATAAACAAAATAAAAAAAATCTAAAAACCTAAGTTATATTCTACCACTCTATGCTTCTTTTGAATATAAACAATCCATCTTCTCCATATTGATAAAAATTGTTCATTTAAATGGTTCTTCAGATAAGCCGAAATCTTTGCCATTTCAGCAACATTCGAAACTTTCAATCTCCAGTCATAGCCTGTGTTGTTATACTGTGCCATTTATAGACATAAAGGCTGCCTCATAACTTCCTATTTATCGACGTACCCGCATAATTCTCATTTATTTTATGTACAACTGCAACCAGCATAATTCCATTTCCTTGATAATGACAGTGTTTTTATGCTTTTTGTCAAACAACATGTCTTGATTGCCTCAATTATCCAATTACATTTTAAAGTTTAAATTAAAAAAAACTTTGAAGTTTGGATTTTATTTTATAAGAAACAGAAAATGTGTCTTTTTTTTTTGCTAATGTGCAGATTTCTGGTTAATGATAGTAATAAATACCTTCCAAGCACTTGTAACTATTTTGGGCCTGCTCTCACTTTAGCAAACTTCTGCCAATAAATAAATAAATGATATTAGTGTAAACAGCATATGGCCTAAAACATCCATAATGTATGGTAAGCGTGAGTTTTGTTCACACTTTACGCACTGGAGATACATTACTGAAACACATTAACACATACCTGTTATCTAGGCTAGAAAAGGCCATTTCTAATGAATGTTATGCCATCTAGCATCTTTGCTCCAAGAATCAAAATTATCTTTAAGGGGTAAATGAAGCCCATTAATCTAACATTTGTCATGAATTACAGAAAGGCTAGGAAGAAACTTGAATGGGGGAAGAGGAAGCACAGCCACAGATTTGTAACACTGGTAGAATGAAAACCTTTATACGCTTGACGCTATTGTTTTACTACAATGTATTTAGATATACCAAGGGGTTACAGTTTTGAAAATTCATACAATAACTATTAGGGAATATTATGACATTGTTGGGGTTTGGGTGTTCTCTGCAAATACTTTGAAGATGTTACTTAGCCTGGTAATTGAAATGTCTACAGGGAGAAAGGCAAGCCATTATATCTACCTGGTCCACCGCGGAGGATGGGGGGGGGGGAAAGAGGGAGGCAAGGTATGTTATGGGTCCCATCAATTAGGGATTGCCATCTGATGGGACCATGAAAAATGACCTTCTTTATGGAACATCCTTCCCCCCCCCCAAGGTACGTAGGTACATCTGGTCCCTACCCTGCTGTTTTTCCAAAAAGCTCTAGAAACATGGTTTTGTCAGCAGGCCTGGGGAACCACAAATGGAAATGGAGAGATCAAGTGGCTGATTTGATTGTGTTGTGACTGCCACTGGGGAATAGAATGGGGTTTTTCTTTTTTCTTATATGATGGAATTTTTGTGAGGCATCCTATGTATGAATTAGGCGGCCATGTACGATAGGTAGGTAGGTAGGTAGATAGATGATAAATAGATAGATAGATAGATAGATAGATAGATAGATAGATAGATAGATAGATAGATAGATAGATAGATAGATAGATAGATAAATAGATAGATGAGATAGACAGACAGACAGACAGACAGACAGACAGACAGACAGACAGACAGACAGACAGACAGACAGAGAAAACTTTTATATATATATATATCCTTCAGTATGGCATATTATGACATTAAGAAGTGAACACTGTCCATATGGCTTGTATAAACCACATAATGTAACTGTCTCATTCTCAAAACCACCATAATCATTTTACAAGTCAAAAAATGGCTACATTCAAATAAAGCAATGGTAACCATTGCAAAAAATTGCCTAATTCCCTACACTTGTGTATGTTCTGTCTTCCTTTACTGTAGCTGTAAATTTAAGCATAAGTGGGGAAAACTGTAGCTAGGCTCACTGGAAACGAACCAAGTTACTACATTTATGTTTTGACTTTGCCTAACTGAGTAACCATAATAAAAACTATTTTGGGATAGGATACGGCACTCAACTATTAATAAATATTTTAATTGCACACCGTCCAGGGTCACTCTTTGAGCGAGACGGGCAGTCTTCCAATTTGGTATAAAAATAAATATAAATAACTGAAAACAAACCTAATTTCATATTAATGTCGGAAGAGAGAGTTATACAATATTGAAATCACTGCAGAAACTAATAAATACTTCTGTGTTATAATGTCTGACCCAGGCTAATATCAGCCACTCAAGCTGCATATGGATTTTGAGAAACTAGAACTCAAGTACCATCACTATCATTGAAATAAGGGCAAGTTAGCAAATTAGCATATGCCATATAACTTTATCAGTGAATGGGCATAATAATAAAAATGATAATTTATTAAATGCATATGCTGCCCAACTTCCAGCAGTTTACAAATTGTTAGAAACATTTAAAAAGTAAACAACAACAAAAAAAAACACCACAAAAGAAACACAGGTGGAAGAGAAAATAAATCTGAATGGGAACAAAGAAAAAAAAAGGGAGCATCAGTTATATGTATTACCAGACAGCAAAACTTACTGTCTCAAGCACTAATGGTTTTACACAGCCTGGTAGAAGCTCTGTAAAACAGGAAAGCAAGCTCAGAGATCACGAACAATTCAGCAGATCTCTCTATGAATTCACTTAAAGTATAATTAGATATATTTTTGTGCACATTTTTGGAACGTTTCTGGCAATGAGATAGAAAAGGAAGCCTATTTCCCAATCAGCAGGTATCTCAATTACAAAGTGTTTAAAGCATTTTTACGCACAAGACAGGACAGGCTGGAAGGAAATGGCAGAATTTGGAGTTGAGGTTTGAACACCACCTGTATTTAGATAATCTGGCAAGACACAATAGCAGCTGCACACCAATTTGCCCTGTTTTAAAAGGAATGGCATAAGCAGGCTAGAAATAATGTTAATTTATTTCAGTAATCTAGGACCAATTTGTTGCAAAGGTCTAAATGCATTTCTAAAAATATAAAAAGAACACGTTTTTTTATGAAGAATTCTTAACAGTCAATCTATAATTCTTCCACTACATATGGTAAATCACGTTTCTTGTGAGAGTGGGCTAACAACATACCCTACAGACAAAGATGGATATGGTCTGTGCCAAGCTGTCAATTTTATAATCAAGAAGAGGAAATAGCACATTGATCCCAAAATTGGCAATCGCTATTTGGTTCAATTTGCAGCATAAAAGCCAGAAAACCAGTCCCAGTGATACTGCATATAAAAACGAGAATGCAAGGTAAAAATAATGAGTATAAGGAATCTGCTTCTCACCTATTTTTTTGCTTTGCTCCTCTCCGTGATTGTGAGCGATTATTGGAGAATATATAAAGGGACTTTTCGTTGACATGTTCTGACCCAGCAGACTTTTCATTTTCTGTGGTCGAAGGCTAACAGGGAGGTTTAAGAGCTTGACAGATCTGTTCAATGAACAAGGGGTTGTTTTTAATGCCGAGCTGCTACAAAATTCGAATTTAGGAGAGACAATTACAATGACAGATACAATAGCATGGATTATCACACGATAAATGCTAATTATAGTTTTTCTTTCCCTTTGCTGTGATCTCTTTGCCCATTTTTTATAAATTCCCTATTGAAGAACAGCGATAGGGTACAGCTTTTATGTTAAAATGATAAGATACATAACAAGGTTAGAACTTCCCAGCAGACTCGGAGTAGAAACAGCACGTTAGTGAATTGGAAACCATAAGAACAATGAAGAAGAGCATCGTTCTATTACTTCAACGTTACTTGAATGTAATCAGATGTAAAGCAGATCCAGTAAAATGACTGAGACTCATTAAAAGGCAACGTTTCAAGATCTACTCTAAACACAACTAAATATTGATTCAATGTAGCTTCAGTATTATTAATAAGATCAAAGAAATGTACATGAGACACAGAGCAATGCTAACCAAATGCATGCTTAAAATAAAACGGTGGCACCTTAAAGACTTAAGTCCTCACTGCCACGTCCTGCCTCATCATAGGAGGGATGAGTGAAAACCCTAGGAGTATATGCCCAGACTACAGGTAGTCCTCGACTTACAACAGTTCATTTGTTGACCGTTCAAAATTATAACAATACCGAAAAATGTAACTTATGATCGTTTTTTTACATTTACGATCTTTGCAGCATCCCCATGATCGCGTGGTCAAAATTCAGACGCTTGGCAACTGCTTTATGTTTATGACCTTTGATGTGTCCCAAGGTCATGTGACCACCTTTTGAGACCTTCTGACACGCAAAGTCACTGGGGAAGCCAGATTCGCTTAACAACTGGGTTACTAACTTATCAACTGAAGCGATTCATTTAACAACTATGGCAAGAAATGCCGTAAAATGGGGCAAAGGTCACTTAACAAATGTCTCACTTAACAACAGAAATTTTGGGCTCAGGTGCAGTCGTACGTTGAGGACCAGCTGTATATTATTCCCAGCAGGGTCAACAAAAGTGGGAAGGACATTCCAGCTGCCCAATTAAACCAAGCAGACACCTACAATGGGCAGCAACAATATATAAAATGGATAGGATAGGATAGGATAGGATAGGATAGGATAGGATAGGATAGGATAGGATAGGATAGGATAGGATAGGACAGGACAGGATTCTTTATTGGCCAAATAAGTAAGGTTAGTTGAATACGGCATCCGGCCCTCTCAATTCCTGGCAAATAAATGGGGAAGAAATGGAGGTAGTGACAGATTTTATCTTCCTGGGCTCCAAGATCACCACAGATGGGGACTGCAGCCAAGAAATTAAAAGACGCTTGCTCCTGGGGAGGAAAGCTATGGCAAATCTAGACAGCATACTAAAAAGGAGAGACATCACCCTGCCAACAAAAGTACGTATAGTCAAGGCCATGGTTTTCCCAGTTGCAATGTATGGCTGTGAAAGTTAGACCATAAGAAAGGCTGAGCGCCAAAGAATGGAGGCCTTTGAACTATGGTGCTGGAGAAGACTCCTGCGAGTCCCCTGGACTGCAAGGCGATCAAACCGGTCAGTCCTAGAGGAGATCAACCCCAACTGCTCTTTAGAAGGCCAGATCCTGAAGTTGAAACTCAAGTCCTTTGGCCACCTAAGGAGAAGGAAGGACTCCCTGGAGAAGGGCCTAATGCTGGGAAAGATTGAGGGCAAGAGAAGAAGGGGACGACAGAGAATGAGGTGGCTGGATGGAGTCACTGAAGCAGGAGGCGTGAGCTTCAATGGACTCCAGAAGATGGTAGAGAACAGGAAGGCCTGGAGGAACGTTGTCCATAGGGCCGCGATGGGTCGGACATGACTTCGCAACTAACAACAAGAAGTAAGGTTGGACACACAAGGAATTTGTCTTCGGTGCATAAGCTCTCAGTGTACATGCAAACAAAAAAGTGATAAGTCATAGAACATAAATCATAAGATACAATCATAAATCATGCAACAATTGATAACTCATAATATACCAATAGGAGAAGGTAGTAGGAAAGATGAGAGGTGAGCAAGATGAGATGAGAAGGATGAGAAGATGACAAGTTTAATAGCAATACAGCCTACTACATGGGTAAATATCTTTGGGTAGAAGATACTGTAGGAGTTAGGTATTTAGCAGAGCGATGGCATGGGGGAAGAAACTACCTTTGTGTCTAGTTGTTTTGGCATGCAATGCCCTAGAGCGCCATCTTGAGGGGAGGTTGAAACGGTTATGTCCAGGATGTTGAGGGATCTGTAGGTATTTTCTCAGCCCTTTTTCTGACCCCTGCAGTCAGTAGACAGGTCCTCAATGGAAAGCAGACTAGTTGCAATTGTTTTTTTCTGCAGTCCTAACTATCCATGAGGTCTGTACCTGTCTTGTTTGGTTCCTGTGCCAAACCAGGCACAAATGATAAGACTCAATAATTCCTCTGTAAAACCATATCAGCAGATCCAGGGGCAATCCGAGCTTTCTGAGTTAACGCAAGAAAAATGTTCTTTGTTGTGTCTTTTTAATGACAGTTCTAATGTTAGGTGTCTATTTCAAATCCTGGGAGATTATAGAATCCCAGAAATTTGACGGTCTCTAACTGCTGATACTGTGTTGTCTAATATTGTATAAATAATAAATAAAAAGAAGACCAAACTGATGACAACAGGTAGAACAACCAAGCTTAGAACTGACAAGGTTCTCAAGCAGTAGATAGCTTCTGTCTTTCAATTATCAACAGTAATGAAAAAAGCAGTCCAGAAATATGCTGTGGACTAGTGCTTGATACAAATCCTTGGAGAAGATATTCAGATGCTGTCAAATGTCTACAGCCACAAAGATCGGAAGAGTGCAAGCAATGGCATTCCCTGTGACCGTCTACGAAGGCGAAAGTTAGACTTTGAAGAAGCCAAAGAGAACAAGATTGAAATTTAAAGCTGGAAAAAGCTGCTGAAAGTATCATGGGATAACCAGGAAAACAAGCCAACTGATCACCAAACAAATCAAACCAAAGTTCAGACTCAAGGCACAAATGACCAGATTCAAATTATTCTACTTGGGATTTAACTCTTTGGAGCAGGCTCTAATGCAGAAAAAAGGAAGAATAGGACGCCTAGCAGCAAAGCGGATAGATGCAACTTCAGCAGAAATGGGTGCGCCATTAGAAGACCTGAAAGACCAGGTTAGGGTACAGCTGGCCATGGAAAATAAAACCCATATGATTGGTGACAATGGACACTGATCTGATGGCACATAATCAATCAAAATTATTCCTAGCTTGGGATTTCCCACAAATTGGTCTATTTCGTCACATGTATGGAGTACACGGTTGAGAAGAAAATAATTATATATAAAGAACTAGAAAGTAGATGTGCTATTTTTAAAAAGTTCCAAAGTTGGAAGGGGGGGAAGGCTAAAAATGAAGGAAATGGTAAGATTAAGTAATGTAAAGCTACACGTATGTAAACATCACTCTATTAAGAAACTAACTGGTACATAGACTTGCAGCGAATGTTTTACAGCTTTCATCCACAACATGTCACAAAAATCATAGTTTACAGCTAACGGTTATAACACTTCATCTATTGATACCCATCCAACAGAGAAGATCAACTAGGACAGGGGTGTCAAACTGCCGGCCCGCAGGCCAGATGTATCATAGCGAAACTGCGCCCACCCCATTGCCGGCAATGGCAAAGAAGTCGCGATACGTTGCGACACGTCACGTGACGTTGCGAGTTTGACACCCCTAAACTAGAAGGTTTTAAGCAACAATTCCCCAAACTATAATGTGTACTTAATAAATTTAAACCCAATACCAAAGAGGAGCACAGCATTTCTACAGAATAGTCTACCATACAAGAAAGAATAGAATAGAATAGAATAGAATAGAATAGAATAGAATAGAATAGAATAGAATAGAATAGAATAGAATATATGGAGTGGAGTGGAGTGGAGTGGAATGGAATGGAATGGAATAGAACAGAACAGAACAGAATAGAATAGAAAATATGGATTGGATTGGATTGGAATAGAATAGAATAGAATAGAATAGAATAGAAAATATGGACTGGATTGGATTGGATTGGATTGGAATGAAATAGAATAGAATAGAATAGAATAGAATAGAATAGAATAGAATAGAATAGAATAGAATAGAATAGAATAGAATATATGGAGTGGAGTGGAGTGGAATGGAATGGAATGGAATGGAATGGAATAGAATAGAATAGAATAGAATAGAATAGAATAGAATAGAATAGAATAGAATAGAATAGAATAGAATAGAACAGAAGTTCAAAAACAATGACATAAAATTCACAAGGGTGCTTCAAAACTGGCCCGAGTATCAACCCTACACCCATTCGCTGTTCTTTAAAGCAGCTTGTATTTTTCAATGTCTTCCTCAAAAAAACACTTGAGTTAAGAAGGCGGTGATAACAGGGGCAGCAACATCTACAAACAGACACACAATAATGCCACAGAATGCAAGAGGCGGTTTCAATTGCTGCTTACAGAAGTTTCAATCTCCTCTGAATGGCACCTGCTTTTTACACAACTGAATTCGTCCTGAAACAGTTCACTGACCTCAGTCTAACGTCGTTCTCTGGTACCCTCTCTAAGGAGGCCTATGTGACACATGATTCATTACTATATCATATCACCACGACGTAAAGGATGAAAACAGAAGTTACCTTACAATAGGAAGTTTGGTGAATGGCACAGGAGGGAGCTTTAAGCCATCTGGAAGGGTAATGAATTCCATTGTTCCCGGGCATTTTGACGTATAGTTTTCTAGACTCTGTGTCACATCTTTCTTTTCTAAAAGAAAAGAGAATTGTCATTACTATTGTACCAAATTATAAGAGGCTGCTTCCCTCTCAACAAATGAAGTAGGAACAGACGTTATGTGCTACATAAGCAGATTAATACACGGAGTCCTCGACCGCCATTGAGGTCAAAATTTCCACCGGTCAGCAAGAGAGTGGTTAAGTGAGTTTTGCCCCATTTTATGACCTTTCTTGCCACAGTTGTTAAGTGAATCACTGCAGTTCTTAAGTGAAGTGTGTGGTCGTTAAGCAAATCTGGCTTCCTCCATTGACTCGGCTTGTCGGAAGCCGGCTGGGAAAGTTGCAAATGATAATCACATGACCCACAGATGCTGCTGCAACCGTCATAAATACAAGCCAAGTTGCCAAGTGTCTGAATTTTGATCATCAAGAATTTTAAAAGCTGGGAAAGTCCTATGAAGAAGAAGGAGGAGGGAGAAGGAGAAGAAGGAGGAGGAGGAGGAGGAGGAGGAGGAGGAGGAGGAGGAGGAGGAGGAGAAGAAGAAGAAGAAGAAGAAGAAGAAGAAGAAGAAGAAGAAGAAGAAGAAGAAGAAGAAGAAGAAG